CCATCCATCCATCCACCCATCCATCCATCCATCCATCCACCCATCCATCCACCCATCCATCCATCCACCCATCCATCCATCCATCCATCCACCCACCCAGTGGAACTCCTACCTGACTGCATGGCCCAGGTGTGCCCACAGTTGGTACGGCGTTTGCGCCAGGTACAGCATCATGTCCCTCTGAGACTTGGGTCCATCGCTGGTCAGGTAGGTGGCGGCCATGTCCGTGTTGGCGTAGCGGCCTGGGTGTGTGGACAGACCAATCATCTACCCATCCTTCCAGTCATCCATCCACCCATCCATCCATCCACCCATCCATCCATCCATCCATCCATCCATCCATCCACCCACCCATCCATCCATCCACCCATCCATCCATCCATCCACCCATCCATCCATCCACCCATCCACCCATCCATCCATCCATCCATCCATCCACCCATCCATCCATCCATCCATCCACCCATCCATCCATCCATCCATCCATCCTTCCATCCGCCCACGCATCCATCCATCCATCCACCCACCCATCCATCCATCCATCCTTGCATCCACCCACCCATCCATCCATCCATCCATCCACCCACCCATCCATCCATCCATCCATCCATCCATCCACCCATCCATCCATCCATCCATCCACCCATCCATCCACCCATCCATCCATCCATCCATCCATCCACCCATCCATCCATCCATCCATCCACCCATCCATCCATCCATCCATCCACCCATCCATCCATCCATCCATCCACCCATCCACCCATCCCACCCGACGCGTCTCGGCTCAGCAATCTCAGGGCCTCGCAGGCGTCCAGCAGCCGTCGTGTCCCCGTGAGGCTGCAACCGAGTCGGGCGGCCAGCGTGGCGGCGTGCAGGGGGGCCTGGGCCAGCGTGTCGAACACCCCGAGCTGACAGGAGGTGAACAGCACCTGAGGGGAGGAGAGAGTCCTGGGTTCGAATCCTGCTGTGTCCATGTGTCCAAGTGCGTCTGGCCTGGTCCAGGCGGTCGAGTGCCACCAGGCCTAAAATATGACCCAGGTCAGGTTGTGAGTTCGAATCCTGCTGTTTCCATGTGTCCAAATAAGTCTGGCCTGGTTCAGGCGGTCGAACGCCCCCAGGCATGGAAAATGACCCAGGCCAGGTTGTGAGTTCGAATACTCCTGTGTCCATGTGTCCAAGTGCGTCTGGCCTGGTCCAGGCGGTCGAGCGCCCCCAGGCCTAAAATATGACCCAGGCCAGGTCGTGAGTTCGAATCTTTCTTTGTGTCCATGTGTCCAAGTGCGTCTGGCCTGGTTCAGGCGGTCGAGCGCCCCCAGGCCCAAAATATGACCCAGGTCAAATTCACAGGCCGTGAGTTCGAATCCTGCTGTGTCCATGTGTCCAAGTGCATCTGGCCTGGTGCAGGCGGTCGAGCGCCCCCAGGCCCAAAATATGACCCAGGCCAGGTTGTGAGTTCGAATCCTTCTTTGTGTCCATGTGTCCAAGTGCGTCTGGCCTGGTTCAGGCGGTCGAGCGCCACCAGGCCTAAAATATGACCCAGGTCAAATCCACAGGTCGTGAGTTCGAATCCTGCTGTGTCCATGTGTCTAAGTGCGTCTGGCCTGGTTCAGGCGGTCGAGTGCCCCCAGGCCCAAAATATGACCCAGGTCAGGTTGTGAGTTCGAATCCTGCTGTGTCCATGTGTCGAAGTGCGTCTGGCCTGGTTCAGGCGGTCGAGCGCCCCCAGGCCTAAAATATGACCCAGGTCAAACCCACAGGTTGTGAGTTCGAATCCTCCCGTGTCCATGTGTCCAAGTGCGTCTGGCCTGGTCCAGGCGGTCGAGCGCCCTCAGGCCTGGAACATGACCCAGATACCCTCCACAAGGTCCCGAGTTCGAATCCCACCCCAACCCTCGTACCTGCGACACCATGAAGCCGTGGGCGTAGCTGCATAGGAGCTCGATGCCGCCGTCCTCCTCCGGCCCGTCCATGTCCGTCTGTCCGTCCGTCCGGTGTCTCTGGTCTGCTGACCACCCCGACTCCCTCCTCTCCCTCCAAATCCGCTCAGCGGCACAGCACGAGCTCCAGCTCTGATCTAATCCCCCCACCCACAGGCCAGATGGCCGGGCCCAGAAGGGGGGGGGGAGACGACAGTTTCAAGGCCCCCCCCCAGAGCAAGGCACGGTAGTTTGAAGGCCTCCCCCCCAGAATGGTGGTGTCAAGGCCCCCCACCCACCCCCAGGGGGGGAGGGAATGGTAGTTTCAAGGCTCCCCCCCAGGGGAGGGAATGACGGTGTCGAGGCCCCCCCAACCCAGGAGAGAGAATGGCAGTCTTGAGGCCCCCCCAGGGGAGGGGATGACGGTTTCGAGGCCCCCCCAGGGGCAGGAATGGTGGTGTCAAGGCCCCCCCAAGGGGAGGGAATGACGGTGTCGAGGCCCCCCCAACCCAGGAGAGAGAATGGCAGTCTTGAGGCCCCCCCAGGGGGAGGGGATGACAGTGTCGAGGCTCCCCAACCCTGGGGGAAGTAATGGCAGTCTTGAGGCCCCCCCCCCAACAGAATAGTAGTGTCAAGGCCACCCCCAGGAGAGAGAACAGCAGTGTCAAGGCCCCCCCAGGGGAGGGAATGGCAGTGTCCAGGCCCCCCCAACCCAGGGGGACATAACGGCAGTGTCCAGGCCCCCCTCCAACAGAATAGTAGTTTCAAGGCCCCCCCCCAGGGGAGGGAATGACGGTGTCGAGGCCCCCCCAACCCAGGGGGACATAATGGAAGTGTCCAGGCCCCCCCAACCCAGGGGAGGGAATGATGGTGTCGAGGCCCCCCAACCCTGGGGGAAGTAATGGAAGTGTCCAGGCCCCCCATCCAACAGAATAGTAGTGTCGAGGCCCCCCTCAGGGGGACGTGATGGCGGTGTCGAGGCCCCCCCCCAGGAGGGAATGGTAGTATCAAGGCCCCCCAACCCAGGAGAGAGAATGGCAGTGTTGAGGCCCCCCCAGGGGACGTAATGGCAGTGTCAAGGCTCCCCAATCCAGGGGAGGGGATGGCGGTGTCGAGGCCCCCCCACTCACCCCCAGGGGAGGGAATGGCAGTCTTGAGGCCCCCCCCTCCAACAGAATAGTAGTTTCAAGGCCCCCCCAGGAGAGGAAATGGTGGTGTCGAGGCCCCCCCCAACCCAGGAGAGAGAATGGCAGTCTTGAGGACCCCCAAGGGGAGGGGATGGCGGTGTCGAGGCCTCCCCAACCCAGGGGAGGGGATGGCGGTGTCGAGGCCCCCCAGGGGAGGGGATGACGGTGTCGAGGCCCCCTCAGGGGAGGGAATGGCAGTGTCAAGGCCCCCCAGGGGAGGGGATGATGGTGTCGAGGCCCCCCCAGGGGAGGGAATGGCGGTGTCGAGGCCCCCCAGGGGAGGGGATGACGGTGTCGAGGCCCCCCCAACCCAGGGGAGGGGATGACGGTGTCGAGGCCCCCCAGGGGAGGGGATGGCGGTGTCGAGGCCCCCCCAGGGGAGGGGATGACGGTGTCGAGGCCCCCCAGGGGAGGGGATGACGGTGTCAAGGCCCCCCCCGGGGAGGGGATGACGGTGTCGAGGCCCCCCCAACCCAGGGGAAGGGATGATGGTGTCGAGGCCCCCCAGGGGAGGGGATGACGGTGTCGAGGCCCCCCCAGGGGAGGGGACGGGGGGACGGAGCGGCCGGACAGACAGAGCTCAGGAGGCCGGGGTCGGACACACGGGTTTTTATTGGAACAGGAGTTGGGGGTGACCCCCGACCCCGCCACCCCCCACCCCGTCCCGTGACCCCCGAAAGAAAAGTCAGGATGACACCCGAGCCGGGACCCTGGCCCAGGGGGGAGGGTCACCGGGGTCAAGGGTCAGGGGGTCCCCCTGGGGATCCCGGGGTTGTTGGGGTCGGAGTTCGAGGTGTCTGTCTGGCTGTGTCTGTGGGTCCGAGAGGTCACGTGATGTCATCACCGTGGGCCTGGAGTTGTGATGTCACCGGTATGAGCCAGACCCGTGATGTCATCATCACCAGCCGGACTGGTGATGTCATCGCCGTGGTCCTGAACTTGTGATGTCATCACCACAGGCCGGACTTGTGATGTCATTGCTGTGGGTCTGGACTGGTGATGTCATCATTACCGGCCGGACTGGTGATGTCATCGCCATGGTCCTGATCTTGTGATGTCATCACCGTGGTCCTGATCTTGTGATGTCATCACTGTGGTCCTGAAGTTATGATGTCATCATTACCGGCTGGACTGGTGATGTCATCGCCGTGGTCCTGGACTTGTGATGTCATCATTACTGGCCGGACTGGTGATGTCATCGCCATCGTCCTGAACTTGTGATGTCATCACCGTGGGCCTGGACTTGTGATGTCACTGGTGTGAGCCAGACCTCTGATGTCATCATTACCGGCCGGACTGGTGATGTCATCATTACCGGCCGGACTGGTGATGTCATCTTTACCGGCTGGACTGGTGATGTCATCGCCATCGTCCTAAACTTGTGATGTCATCACCGTGGGCCTGGACTTGTGATGTCACTGGTGTGAGCCAGACCTCTGATGTCATCATTACTGGCCGGACTGGTGATGTCATCGCCACGGTCCTGAACTCGTGATGTCATCATTACCGGCCGGACTGGTGATGTCATCGCCATGGTCCTGAACTCGTGATGTCACAGTTATGGGCCAGATCCATGATGTCATCATTTCTGGCTGGACTTGTGATGTCATCACTGTGGGTCTGGACTGGTGATGTCATCTTTACCGGCTGGACTGGTGATGTCATCGCCATGGTCCTGAACTCGTGATGTCATCATCACTGGCCGGACTGGTGATGTCATCGCCATCGTCCTGAACTCGTGATGTCATCATTACTGGCCGGACTGGTGATGTCATTGCCATGGTCCTCATCTCATGATGTCATCACCGTGGGCCTGATCTTGTGATGTCATCGCCATGGTCCTGGACTTATGATGTCATCGCCGTGGTCCTGGACTGGTGATGTCATCTCCGTGGCCTCCGTGACCCCCAGAGGCCG